TCTCCTGGGCCGAGGTGGCGGCGGCGGTGCCGGAGGCGCCGTCAACGTAGACGAAGGCGGGCTCGGAGGCGCAGACGCCGGCGGCGAGGTCGGTGGCGTCGGCGCCGCCGCACTCGGAGATGATGCTCGAGAGGGCGGAGGCCGACTCGGAGGAGAAGGCCGACAGCGAGGTGACCCAGTCCTCGACGTCAGAGGAGAGCGAGGCGGGGAAGGTGATGCGGCAGGGGTCGGAGGTCACCGAGTCGGGCGCCGTGGCGAGGTAGGCGAGGACGTCGGCGGCGGGGGTGGGGATGCTGGACACGATGTCGATGGCCGCGGAGAGGCACTCGGCCGAGGGGGTCGAGTCCTGGCGACGGAAGAAGGCCAGCGAGCGGGCGTGGATGTTGGTGGTGGGCGCCGTGGCCGCGGCGAGGGCAGCCGCGGAGGCGATGAGGAGGATGGAGGACTGCATTTTGATGGTGCGAACGTTGCGACGTGAGACTGAGCAAGTCGTTTGTGGATTGGATATATGGACGAGTGAAGGTACCGGGTGAAATGTCCGATATGAGGAACGTTGCTCTCTGCGCAACACCACGTCCCAGGCACGGGAGGTCTGCCCTTTTCAACCCCTTCATCCTGATCCTTCGATGAGCTAGCCCCCCCTGCCACGTTCAGCCCAGGCTCCAGAATCCAGGCGACAACGGCTTCAAGCGAGAAACGCCGGACATGGGGGGTTCCACATCGGGAGATTAAGGCCGGTCACTCCAGTCACGGCGACAGCGAGGTCTGTGATCCCCACAAAGCCTCTGACTGCACAGCCCTTACGTCGAGCTTGTCCCTGACGGGGGCACAGGGTCTGACGACCAAGACATGGGGCTGGCCGATGCTCTTAGCCCAGGCATAAACATTGCACTAGAGGCTAGGTAGGGCGTTCTGCCAGACCTGTCCGTCTCTAGCGGCTGCTATGCTCGCCTTCTCTCTCCACATCGGGCAAGGCAGCAGCAAGGTTGGCACGAAGTGGTTCTCTCGTCCACAGCTTGCCTTCGTAGAACGCCTCGAGGATTCCATTCAGCACGTCGAATGAGTCGCGCGTGCAACTGATCGACATTCTGAACAAGGGATAACCCATCTTGAGACATGGTGGCGTCCATGCCTCAAAGCTGGGAGAAATATTCATAGCGTCTCCCGCACGACGAAGGCCATGCGGCTGACGAACGGCCTTCCTCTGGTGCCAGGCTAAGGGCGTAAGCCAATTTCACAGAAAAGAGACGGGGACGGCCGAGCGGCATAGCGTCCGCCTGCTACGGTCCCCCTGGTTCTCCGCCTAGTCCTCGCTTACCTATCTCGAGCACTGCAGTCCTGCACTCTGGAGCGGCCCACCTGGTGCCCGCAACTGATCTGCCGTTGGGTTATGCGTGGCGGCGCAGACATCAGATGAGGGGTTGAAGGATGCGTTGTCGTCGCGTCGCGTCAGGGGCGGAGGCAAATTGCAGTGGATGGTCAGCTTTGGCAGCCCGACGGCTCGGAATGCCAAGAACGGGAGATTGACAGACTTCAATGTGCCGGCATTGCGAAGAAGGCGCAGCAGTTGGTTTCTACGAGCAGACACCTACACTGCCGACTGCGGCCATGTGGCGCGAAACGTGGACGATGACAGTTCAAATGGGTGCACTGCTTCACAATTTTAGAAATTAATCACTACGGACGTGGAATCTCGGCCCATGGCGCCGAATTCGTTGGGCTAAGCGTCTTGCTGCGCCCACCGTTGGTCCATGTGCCGATGGGTACTTTGGGGGCTCTGGGGTCACTGTATTCAACCAGGGCTCCGATCGATGTGGAGTGATTTCAGTGTCAATGGAGCGCCAGTTCAGGTATCTCGGACACCACATGGCTTTGAAATGATCGATGGTTTGTTGTTGACTTGGCGTGGTTTCATATGAATGCTGTGACGCTAGTTACCAATGGCCTCATAATGACCCTATGAGGCAATCATATCCTTTATAAAGTCTTGGGCTGGACGTGTTGGATGTCCTAACGACTGCGTCGATTCTCTGTGGAGGATTCAAGGCGATGTTGGACTTCTGGACCGCATTCAAAGTTGTAGCTATTGAGCCCTTCACAAGGGCTTAACATCAGAAGTCTAGCTGTGCTGGATCATATGGGCAAAGTGACACCCAAAGATAACACAGACAGATGTTTCACGTCAAAAGGCCTAGATTGAGTGCCATGCGGAGGAATACAATGATCAGTTCGGTCGCTGAGGGACAACCACCAGCGATACCAGGTCCGTAACGAGTTGGCAAAGTGTAGGGTTTATGACAGACAATGAGAAACTTGGCCCTCCGCATTCGCGCCAAAGTATTGGGAAACCCAGTGGGAAAAAACCAATACCGAGGGGTATATACATATCAGCATCGCAACCGGCAGTATCTACTGCATGTTCTCAAAACGCGAAAGCCCGTCCAATTTGGGTGGCCATCAATGCAAAGCACAAAAAAAAAAAAAAAAAAAAAAAAAAAGGAAAGAGAAAAAGCCTTGGCGCAATAACAACAAACGGCCCAAAAACGCAAAAGGATTTCTCCTTTGGCCGTGTGCCGGCGTCGAACCCCTGAGCCCCTCCACGCGCCTTCCTGACCTGCGCACCCTGATTTGGTCTTCCCTGAGGGCCTGACCTTACGGGTATTTCTTAGGCTTTTACCACCACACCATGCGTCACGGTATGGTGGTTGTTGCTAAGGAAGACCGGCGCCCTGTATAAGTACCCTTCGTTGGTCGGGCAACGCAGAGAAGGAACAGCAGTCACCACGTTGCTGCCTTAGTAGTCGTCCCCACGACTGAGGACCTCCTTATGTATCTCACGTAGGACAACGGTCTAGGGTACTGATCAGTTGCGCGTTGCCTTCATTACAACCTGGAAACTTACATGTTCAAACTGCGCCGAGTATGATCCCTCGATATCTTTCAATGGAGCATAGGACTCAACGATGCCATTTGAGACAAGGCAATTCATCTGTAACTGTCAGCATTGTTGATCAATGTTCCCAGATGAAGAGAGACGAACACCGGCCAGATATTTTTCTTGCCCAAGTCGATCAAGATATCGACGGCAGAAGACGATTGTACCAAAGTTCTCGCGGATCGTCTTGTGCAGTCGTTTGGCAGATGCGAGGGGCAACTGTCCAGCCAACGGCGCGTTGCTTTGCAAACCATACCCGTAGACACCGACCTGATTATGAGTTAGACAGTTATTTCGCCCCAATGAGGAGAGGGAGGCTCACATCATCGCGAAGATAGGCACGACCTGTGGATCCGAAAGTTTCAATGGCAAAAACCTCACCCGCCTCCATCTTCGTCTGATCCGAATTGCGGATGAATGGAATCGATTTGCCGCCGTGGATCTGGTAGTGCTTGATGTTGTGGGCGCAGATGTTTTTCACCGGCTTGACGGGGAATGTCTTGCCCCTTATCTCGACTTCATAGCTCTCCATTGTCTCGTGAATGGCAGCGCTTACATCGCAGATACGTACGTCGATCCCCGTGGCTTTAACGCCCTCGTTCGTCGCCTCCTTGACGGCCGCCAGGAGGTTATCGTATGTGGGGTCGAATTCCATGGTGAATGCGCTATCAACGATCCAGCCGTTTAGGTGTACACCGAAATCGACCTTCATGACATCCTGCTCCTGCAGTACGACAGCCTTCTGTCCGGGGTTTGGAGTGTAGTGTGCCGTCTGGTGATTGAGGCACAGACCCGTAGGGAAGCCCATGCCTGAACGCAGACCATCGCCCACTACAAGCCCAGAGTTGCCGAGGAGAGAACGAACACTGGCTTCGATACCCTCGGCAATACTGAGGAGGTCTTGACCAGGACGCACAGTATCGTGGACCCATTTGCGCGCCTGACGGTGGACCTCGGCCGCTTTCCGATAGTTGCGGAAGAACTCGTTGTCCTGCGCCTCCTGTACGTCGTTGTAATGTGATTCAGCCACGGCTGAGGGAGCCCTGGTGTAGCTCTGGATCTCACCTTCGGGGTAATCCGCCGTAGGAAAGAGATCGCTGAGAGGAATACGAGGTGGCGACGTCTGCTGGCCGTGCGCCGCAGCAGACCTCTTCTTCTTCTTCTTGGTCTTCTTCCGCCTCTTCTTGCATAATTCGATTTCATTCGACGGAACATCAGTGTTCAATTGCGCCAGGAGTCGTAAGGCAGCGTCGTCGTCACTGTCGTCGTCGCCGCCGCCACTATCGAAGGCGCCGTCCCCATCACGAGCGGTGTGAGCGCCTCGTGGAAGACCACCGGCCTGAGGGATTTTGTTCGAATCTGGTGCATCTTCTGATAGAGTCAGCGTGTCTCCTGGCCGGGGTGACCTGATAGGGGCATACTGTAATCACGACGGTCGTCTTCTGATGTCTTGGACCCCATCGCAACATCGGCAGGTTGAAAGTAGGTATTGCGAGAAAATGTCTAGTGCTGGAAAACGAGAAAACCCAGAAAGCAAGAATCGACGGGGACCATACGGATATGAGGAACCGTGCCGACAAGATCTTCCCGCCACGGCATTCCGTTGGGAAAGGGGTGGCCGGGCTGCCCCGCTTCATCGGCTCCGATTGTCACCTCCGGTTCGACTTCCCCGGAATGCCATATCCGGGTCGCGGCAGGAATTGCCCATTAATTACGTATTTGTGACAACTTGCGAAAGGGTAGGGGACATCCACCCGACACGAGCACGTCTACGCGAAGCACGCGCGCGAAGGAGCACAACAGCCAGTCACAGGATGGCTGTTCGGACGTTGGATTTTCTAGCTAGGTAGCCTAGGTAGTCAATGGGACCACTAATTTCACACGCGGTTCTCATCCACAGGCGAAAGACAAAAGTGCGAAGCGCCAAGATGTACATGCTGGATAGAAGCCTGATTGAATCTCTTAAAAAGCGCACGCCTAAAGGATCGGATTGTGATTCGAGGTCCTTGATAGCTGACGACGGACCGTACGGCATTTACGAAATGAATATTCCTTAACACATGCTCAGGTTCAGATTGTTATTACTGCTCAGTTGCTATGGCATAGAAAAAACAGTTACAGGCATGCAAGTCGCCTTGAAATGACCAAGCCCGGTTTCAGCAGCCGCTCCAGGTCGAGGCTCATTACTCCAAGAAATTATATGGCTGCGATGGGCTTTAATAAATATTTACTATTCGTGATGCGGGCATGCTGATCTAAACACGGGCTGGGGTAAAGGTGCAGCTGAGTCGAGGCCAAAGTAGAAGCTCTGGTAGGCAAATTTTGAGTGTAAGTCATCTGACGGAATTCATGTTAGAAGCGGCCGCACAATGCGAGAGCGGAGCCGTATTGAAGTGTTCTTGGGCCAACATGGCAATAGCAGCGGTTACTGTGAGTTTCGGAAACGTGCTGGAGACGACATTCGCGTACGTACTTATGGTAGTGGGTGCTGACGGATATATATGTCCAACGGCTCATAGAACTTACTGCTCGTCGAGATTCTGCCTGTATATGAGTTTCCATTCCAACTCCAGCCTTAGTGACAGTTGATGACCTACATGAGAGGTAAGTCTTTGGCTTTCCTCACGATACCATGTCTTGGCCATGAATACGGAGAAGATAGCATTCTCTTGTACCATACAAGGCCTAGAGTTTTCTTCTACTTATGTTCACCTACTAAAGCCCATCCGTGCCATGTTCTCACATCAGGTGAGAAGGGGTAACCCCTTTTATGACATCGATATGTACTTCCCGCGCTGAGTAGACGTAGTTTGAGATAGTTCAAGTACCACACTGGAGTGCGCCGACACAATTTGCCTTCGACTAGGTAAACCTTTATATCTAGTGCCCCACTATTGGCAATCAACATAAATGGTAAAGCACTGCGTATACTATCTACTTCTTACGGTGATTAAAGCATCATCGGCCAGAAGTGGCGAAGAAACCGAGGTCGAAACGGGAGATGGACTGTTGCTATTGCTATCATAATCACGAAGAGGAAGAGCCGAGGCCGCCGAACTTGAACAATTGATCAAAGCAGCGCGGTCGATTTGAATGCCGGGCCGAACCTTCTGACAGAGGCAAGTACTGCTTCTTGAGACACACTACTGTGATGCCAGAGCAATCGAGAGTGCGCAGTCCTGGATCTTGAACACCAAGTCCTGGCCGTCAAGTCCTAACAGCCCCCAAGTCCGCCCCCAGAGCCGCCCCCAGACAGGGGAGCGGGTAGCAATGCGTCCAGGAAATTGTCTTCGTATCGTCCTTCAATAAGGGCTGCATGTTCAATATCTGGTATATGAATAACACCGTAAGGTTAGTGTCAGCAACATGGTGGCCTCTGAGTGTTGGTCCAGAAATACATACACCATGCAATGTGACCTGTGCAGCTTTGAATTCCTACAGTGCAGCCTGGGCGGCCTTTAAATAACAAACACGACGCCATCGAAATGCTACCGCCTGTGCCATTTTCGACAAGCGTTGCTTCTGTGACAATCCGCCATGTCGACTCCCTCTAGCTTCCAGAAGCTTATGACCAAGGCGCGCAACATTGTGCCGTTTCTTCACCCATTGCCCATCTCGCCGCGCTTTGCCGAGGAGCAGGGAAGCGTCGCCCCTCTACAGTCAACTCCCTGTAGAGGTGCGTCAAATGATCTGGCAGTCTTTCTTTGGCGAGAACCATGCCATTCACATATATCTATCGCGCAAGAGAATCCGCGCCAAAGAATGCACCCAAGTCGACCTGGAAGACATGTCTACGTGGGGCCCTCACTACCGCGGGGTGTGCTCACAGCTAGGTACCAGAAGCCAATGTGACCACGTTTTCATTTTCTTGACGTGCAAGAAGATGTAGTATTTGATATACCCAGAACGAATTCCCTCGGCTAACGATTGACTAGTTATTTCGAATTGATATTTACTCTCTATCGCGGAACGTTGTTTGACTTTTCGCAATCGCCACAAACTCTTCCACTCTTGTACGATCGCCTGCCGACGACTCATGTTGCCTGTATTTCCCACGTCAACCTGACTTGGGATTTATATCGGACCTTGTACCTCGACTCGAATAAGCCCGGAAAAGATGAAGTTCTCTGGCTTCGCATATGGGATGCTCTTGCTGCCATGGAAGGACTTACTTGGCTCAAGTTTGCTTTGAGGCTCAATCCAGCGGCGCAGGTGTGGGAACACGAATGGACGGAACGCGAGCCGCTGATCCTGAGTTCGATTAGAAAGGTTACGCGTCCCTCGTTCTTTGAAGTTACGTTGCCTTTTCCTGCTGCTGCCTCAACAGAGGAAGAAACACTGCCCTGCACTATCATTCGTGGAGCCTACAAATGGTAGATATGCTTTCACAACATCGGTCGTCCCTTCAGCTTGTAAACATCAAGCTGGGGGTTCCCTCTCTTCACAACCCTTTTCTCCTCTCCCTCGTCCCTATCGCCATCACCTCGTCCCCTGAGGAATGAACCATCTTCTCGGGCCATACCACCGGACCTAATGAGCCCAGAGATGGATGAGAATAGGGCGATGGTATCTGAGAGCAAAAAACAGGAACAGGATACGGCGAGTTAGGATTCAACAGCAAACTTTACCAGCATTCCAGTGAGGTCCGTCGTTTCCACGAGTAGTCGAAAGTTTTCGGCAGTTCTTCCAGCCTGGGCAATGATCAAGTCCCGCCAGTGTCTACAAAGCAGACTGCTTTCCCGTCGAGCTCGGTGCCGCCTCCCGACTGACAGTTTCTTTTCCCAGAACACCAGGCGTGGACTTGAGCTGCCGTGTCGTCGCTGTCGGTCGCAAGGTCGTCGACATCAGCCCTGGGGAGGGTGTATTTGGCCGCCTGAGTCCAGTGAAGCCGGGATCCCTTGCCGAGTACGTGATCGCGCCCTACGAGGGTATCGTCGTGTTGCCGGTGAGCATTTCCCCGTGGTTGGCGGGTGCCGCTGGGACGTCCCCTCTCGTAGCGAACCAGAGCATCGCGCCAGATTTCCAGGCCGCCGACAAGGTTTTCATCAATGGCGGGTCTGGCGGTGTCGAGTCCTTTGCGATTCAGGTGGCTAAGGCCCTCGACTGCCACGTCACTGTCACCTGCTCGACAGACAAAATTGGGTTGTGCCAGAGCCTTGGAGCTGACGAGGTCATCGATTACAAGAAGGTCGACGTCATGAATGCGCTGTATTAGCAGAGTAGAGTATTTGCCCACGTCGTGGGAAAAACGCTTCCGTCGTCCATGGGTGGCGAAGAGCACAGGTGGAAGCCGCTCATCATGGAGAACTCGCATGCCGACCTTACGCAGATAGCGAGGTGGATGGAGGAGGGCAAACCCGAGACGATGATAGATTCAACGTTTGCGTTGGACGAGGTTCCAGAAGCCTTCAAAAGGCTTAAGAAGGGGTCTTTGACAGGCAAAGTGCTGACACGGCGCCAAAGGCGGATCGATCGCCAGACGGTGTGAGATTGCTTGCCGCTTCATAGCCATCAGGGCTGGGTCAGTTAGCCGATGTGGTTTCTGAAGCCTTTGGAAACGGGCTGCCCGGCTGATTTCTCGAGTACAGCGACAGTTGGGAGGCAAGGCTGATGAGAGGCTTCAACAGAGAGCTGTTTATGGAAAGCCTTTCGTTTGTAACCTCATGCACATGCCAACAATTCATAGACCGCCTGATACTCGGCTCCCCAGGGTCTTTCGCAACGTTCACTTTTGGCTACTCACCCATTGATCAGCCAGGATGACGATATCACCCTGCAACTGCAGTCACTACTGTGCCCTTGCTTGAAGATTTTTTCTTCATCCAGACGTCGCTGGGAACACGATCACCCTCAGGAGTCTCCTCTACATGCCACGGTATTCCCGACTTGCCACAATATCGCATCCGCGGTGAACATCAAAGAGATTGCAATCACACCAATGGCGACAGCACAGGAACATAAGAGTATCAAGGGTCCAAAGCGCGATCTGAAATAGAAAGATGGATACAGCCGCCAAGGCCAGCGATCAATCACACCAGCGGCAAACTTGCAAAATTCCAAGCAACAAGAACCACAAGATGACGCACGATAATATCAACCTCGCAAGAAAAAAAAAAAAAAAAAAAAAAAAAAGACCACTAGCAACAGGCCTTGTGGAAGCGACAGCTCCCATGGCAGCAGTCAAAGCCGCACGACAACCCCCCGCCACGAAGGCCGAGCACGGGCTCCGCCTCTGGCCGCGGCTCAAGCGTCTGTTCCGGCCATCTGTCAGTAAAGGCACGCAGCAAGTCAGGCCCCAGAGGCGAGGCCTCGGGAGGGTTGGGTCTCTTGTGATCAGGAGAGGCTATTCCTACCGGCTGTCTCGTCACGACGGGCCCGTTGTCCAGCGTCTTCTGCGACGCCAGGTCAACGACGGCCTGCATGGGCGCTTGCTTCGAGGGTTCAGCGGTAGTCGGCATTTTGAAGGACGTTCGGTGCGCAAATTCACGATCGAAGCCTAGGAGAAGAAAAGACGAGAAAGAGAAATGCCAAGAGTCGGAAGTCGTTGGTCGTAATTGACCTTGGCGCTCAAGGTTCACGGTGTTCGCGTCTCAAGATGGGCCTGGATTGAGGAGACATTGATCGAGAAGGCGGTGTCCTCATTTGTTTATCATGTCCTCACCCACCCACCCCCCTGGCAGCCCCGGGCTCGGAGGCAGCCTGATCTGTGCTCAATTGACTCTCTTCAACCAGGGGGCTCGTCCGGCTCAGTGAGTGAGGGCGCAGAGCTGAGCTGAGCTGCATGGCGCCTCGTCAACCAATGCTGGCGCACGAACAGAGTGGGTGGGCGGCTTATCGCGTGGATAGCGGTACTTGTCAGTTGGTTGTGATGCGACCAGGGGTCGGTGACACCTAGCTGAGGCACAATCACCCCCGGCCTGCTCATGCTCAGCCTCGATCTATTATAGTAGTCACATTCGTGGCAGTCCATGCGACGGGGAGCCGCGGTAGGACGTCGCTGGTGCCAGACAGCGAGAAGAATGCCTCGCTTCGAACGAGGGACACGCCAGCAATGCCAGATCACAGAACAGACACTTCGTTCATTGCTAAGTACGCATCATCATTACCATCAACGCCGCGGGAGCTCTTGAAACGTTGGCATGACATCTAGGCCTTTTGTAGTCCCAACCCAGTACCACCTCCCAACCAATGCACTCGTCTACTCGCTGGCCGAAGCATCGGCCTCCTCCTCGGCGGCCTCGTCATCGTCCTCCGACGCCGCGTCCGCACCCGACTCGGCGCCGTTGCCGTTCGTCTTGGCCACGGGGGCTGCCGTCTCCGCACCACCCTCACGCTCCAGTCGTAGCCACTCATCCCACTCGGGGAAGAGCTCCTCATCCTCCGTAGGCACGCCGAGCAGCTTCGACACGCGGCCCTTCTTGCTCTTGTCGAGGCTCTCCTTCCACTGCGCCACGACGCCCGTTGTCAGACTGGGCTTGTACGTCTGCGAGAAGAGCACGGCCTCTGATATCCTGCCTGTCCGGACAAGTGTCTCAACGCAGCCCTCGACGTTGCCGGCCAGCCATTGCGCGCTAAAGGCAACGTTGTGCGCGCCCGCCGCCTCGGCCTGTTCCGCCAGCTTCGTGAGGCCCTCGCGATCCGCCGTCGAAGAGTAGAGCAGCAGCAGCGAGCCAAGGTCCTTGGCGTGCGTGAAGCACTCCTGGGCAAGGGCGACGTCCCACGCAGTGAGGGCAGCGTCACCCACCGTCTTCCACTTGTGCTCGACGTCCGCCTCTCTGGCGAGCTCGAGCGCAATGTCCAGCTGGTTGAGTCCGAGCGCCAGCTCAAACTTGTGCTCCGAGTCCGTCGCCACCTCCAGCGCAAGCTCCTTGTGACCCTGGCCCTCGAGGAATCGCGCAATCTTGTTAAGCTGGTCCTGGGGTACGCTGGAAAGGAGCTCCTCAGCCGTGTCCATGTCGCCGCGCAGCACAAGTGTCTGGTACTCAAGTACAGGGAGCGAAAGAGCGAACGAGGTGACACCGACATCTTTGTCGGCGAGGTAGATGCGGGAGTCGCGCTGGATGTAGCCGAGGATGTACATGGGCTGGTCGAAGTGAGACACTGTGTATGTCTGGTCGCCGACGAGGTAGTTCAGGCGGTTTGTGCTGTTGGTGTAGATGAAGCAGTCGCCAACCCATTCTCCAGTGCGAACACTATCCTTGGTCAGCAAAGCAGCCTCTCATTCCATCTCTCCATCTGTACATACCTCTCGTTGATGTCAGTGATGACCTCGAATGCGGCCTCGACACCATCCTCGTCAGCCTCGCCATTCTGCAGCGCCTCATTGTATGCTTCACGCGAGAAGCGCAGGACATAGAACGAATCCTCGCAGGCCAAGGTGACCAGCTCGCCGCTGTCGGACCAGTAGACCTGAGAGTGTCAGCACGTCGTATCGACCAACATAATCCTCGCCCACAACATACCTGTCTCGGCTCGACCTCAATTCGCCTGACGAGACCGCCGCTGGCCCAGTCAAAGAAGGACACACCGCCCTGGCCCTTGACACCGAGCAGGACACCGCCGCTGAGGCCCTCGGCCTGGAAACCGACGTCGAGACCACCCGTCTTCTCCGTGAAGTTCTTGTACACCTTGACGCTCGTGGCCGATTCCCGAATGGCAAAGTCGTTGCTGTTCTCCTTGGCGCCCCAGACAAAGTCGAGCGCAGAGCCGAAAGCCTTATTCCTCCACGCCAGCGCAGTGTAGATGATGTATTCGCCGTCACCGCACACGGCAACGAATCGACCGTTCGGCGAGTGGAGGAGGGTTTGCGGGTAGACCTCGCAGCTGCCGAGATCCTTGGTGGGCAAGCTGATGGGCGTGTTATCCTTGACGGAGGCGTCTGGAATTTTGTCAGAAACAACGGTCTCGAAATCATGCGCAAATTTTCAACCACTTACCGCCGCCCTTGATGATGGAAGACACAACCTCGTTGTGCCTGGCCCAGATGAGCTTGCCAGAGGCGTCCATCGACACGGCCGGCTCCTCGCGACCGAGCTTCACGACGACGAGACCGTCGTCAAAACCCACCGCCACGCCCTGCTTGCCCTTCTGGTAGGAAACACACCAGGCGCGCTCGAGGCCGTAGTTGAGCACCTGCTCAAATCGGTACGTGTTGGCGTGCCATAACCGCACGGTGCCGTCCTCGGAACCGGAGATGATGACGGGAAGCTCGGGGTGGTAGCACGCCCAGGAGACGTTGTTTGTGTGGCCCTCGAGCGTGGCAATCAGCGACTTGGTGGTGTAGTCCCACACCTTGACGGTGCGGTCATCCGAGGTGGTGAGGAGGTATGGCTTGTCGGAATGGGGATAGTAGTCGACATAGTTGACACCCTTGGTTTCGTGCGCCTCGAGGGTGAAGTTGGCGGTGGATGAGCCCAGGCTCCAGATCTTGACAGTGCGGTCGAGACAGGCCGAGGCGAACGTGTTGGTATCCTTGGGGTTGATGGCGAGACCCATGACGTAGTGGCCGTGGCCCTCGAATACGCGGACGCACTTCCATCCCTTCTCCCAGTCCCAGAGCTTGATGGTCATGTCATCGGATGCGGTGAGCACGAAGGGCTGCGTCGGGTGAACAGCAATGGCGCGGATGTAGTCGGGGTGGGCTTCGAAGGAGGTGATCTTCTCGGACGTGTTGTAGTTGTAGACGCGCAATTGGAAATCATCGGAGCCGCAGACAATCCAGTTCTTCCTCGCGATGAAGCGACCGGCGCGGACGGGGACATCGGTGAGCTCAAAGGTCTTGACAATCTGTTGCGTCTCGTACGACCAGATGTAGACATGGCCTGAAAGGTGCTGTTAGGATACGGGACTTTGTAATGGATCGCCGATGCAAGAAATCCTATCGAGGAGCAGGTGGGTAAGGCATTACCAGAGTAGAGGGTCGTCAGGATCCATGGCTCTTGAGGGTGGAAATCGATGCCTTTGACCCGCTCGCTGCGGGCGAACAATTGCCTCTGTAGTGCCAAGGTTAGAACGTGCGATTCAAGGGACACAGCGTACTGGTGTGAACTGATCCCCGAGAAGACACACCTTGACGTCAATCCTCATGGTGGGCGCACAGTTGTCGTGGTAAGGGTGAAAGGGGGTTGCTGAGTTGGAGGATAGTTTGGTGGGGTTGGTTGGTCAGCGAGTTCGTCTCTAGTTGTGTCTCATGGGTTCGGCGCGAGAAATTGACCGTAAGGCTGGTTTTGAGATAGCTAGGCTGCTGGAAGCCGATGACAGCAGCCGCAGTATCGTGATTGTGGGGAGTCGAGGTGTTGAAAGCTGGCTTCCAGAGCTGTGGTGGGCTTAATTTTGGCTTGAGCTTCCTTCATCAGATGTGTCTTCACCAAAGGAGGTCGTGGCTGCCTGAGAATAGGCCATCTTTCAGGCATCAACTTTGCCATGTGGGGACCTCTCCCTGCATCAGCATCAGGGGCCGCGTGCTCTGTGGCGGCTGGGAACAGGTGGCCAGGCCCCGTCATCCACAGACTTGCCTGGCACCACGACTGTAAGTACCTACCTAGATGCCTACCTAGATGCCTACCTAGGTACGGACGGTAACGGCTTTGTGTTAAGAGTGAGTTGACGTTGAAGCTACCTTACTATACGCTCATTATCTCATAGGGTGCGGGATACTTCGCAGTTCGGCTGGACATTTGTTGCACGCACTGAAGTGTAGGTAGCAATACTTCACTCTGTAGGCCTTCGGCACGATATGGCCTCCTGGGTCCATACAAAATAGGCGAAACTCAATATCATTGTAAGGTTCCGACACCAAAAGAACATTACATTCAGGCAGCTCATTGATCTGTGGTGTTTTGACGTAATCATATTTGGCTAGTACTACTGTCGCATTTTCATGCAGATCCTTCTGCCTCGGTGAAACCATCATTGATGTAACAAGACACAACCACTACTTGGTTGATGCTGAGGATGTGGATATCTTGATTCCCAAACGCCCATTGTCGTGTAAGACCCGTTTCCCGCTCCCTAGTGAACAAAGAGAAGACAATAATTCGTGACACGCAAAAGCAAACATCTCACAGCTTGGCGGAGAGTCATTCCTCAGAATCGGCCTGGACCCTGCGGACAACCTCAACGAGCATGGGATGAATCTTTTCAGAAGCCTGGATACCGCAGACCTTCTGGACAACATCCTCGGGACCGTTCTCAGACATGGTCTTGGCCAGCTCCTTGCTCTCCTCGTCCTCCTCGACGTCCTGGAAGCGGAACGCCATCTCGGCAGCGCGCAGAAGAGCCTTGCAGTCAAGGTCGTTCTCAGCGAGCTCGGCAGCGGGGCCGACGAAACGCTCCTTGCGGCTCAGCTTGCGCATGGGGGCACGGCCGACACGCTCAACCGCATCTTCCAGATGGGGGTTACCGATGCGCTTGATGATCTTCTCAGCGTACGCCTGCTGCTCCTCGAGGTTGATGCCGTGCTTGGTGACCATGAGCTCGGTGGTCTCTTTCAAAGCTTGGCGCACCTCGGCCAGGATCGCCTTGTCTTGCAGAGCATCGTAGACGGTGCGCTTGCTGCGGTTGTATCCGTGGTAGGCGGCTGTAGCGTGGCCAGTGTTGACCGTGTAGAGCTTGCGCTCGATGTAGGGACCAAGGTTGTCGACCCAGTTGATACCCTCGATGGTGGGGTGACCAGTCTCAGCGAAGGGACCGCTCTCGACGACCCACTCAAAGAACTTCTCCAGCTTCACGTCCAGGCCGGCGTTGGGGTCCTGGGCAGGCACAATGCGGTCAATAGCCGAGTTGGCGTAGCGGGCACGCTCGTGGTGGTCCTCGAGACGGTGCTCGGGCGTGTTCTTGGGGTCCTTGATGTGACCGGCGAGGGTGTCAGTGGCGCCAATGGCGTTCTCGCAAGCAATGACAGCGATGGGGGCGAGGTCGTTGGAGCGCTTGTCAATGCCCTTGGCGATGACGGGGGCAATGAAACGCAGAATGTTGGGTCCGACAGAGCAGGTGACGACGTCGGCAGTGGCAATCTCCTCAATGAGATCAGCCTCGTGCGTTTTGGAGTTGATGGCACGGTAGTTTGTGATGGTGTTCTCGTCGGTGCCCTCAGTGCCAACCTCGATGACCTTGTATGAGGGGGTGGCGTTGATCGAGTCGATCAGAGAATCCGCAACATCCGCGAAGACAACCTCGTAACCAGAGTTGTGGAGAAAGCAGGCAACGAAGCCACGACCTGAATATGTGTTAGTCAAGAGTGTTCAAGGGCGTTGGGGTCTGTTGGCGAGGAACATACCAATGTTGCCAGCGCCAAAGTGGACGGCCTTCTTCGTAGTAGCGGGCGCCATGGTTGGAAGACGTGAGGGGTGCAGTTGGTTGTGGATAGGTGGAGGAGTGGGTGTGTGGGATATCGAGAGCCTCAAAGTTGGATGATGGCCTTGTTGGAGGGAAGAGGAGAGGATGTGAATTAATGGGTATTCTTGGTTGGGATGCGAGGGGAGGGGGTGGGATGAC